AAAAAAATAAATAAAATGGCTACCGCCGCCGCTTCATCCGCCGCCAGAACCGCATTCAGGTCGTCCTCCATTCGCAGCGCCGCCACTAGGCTCGGCTCCCAAGCGAAGGCTGCTCGCTGCCCCTTCCGCCTTCCTTCCAGGAACCCCCTTGCTCACCGCATCTTCCGGTAATAATTACCTCTTCCTGTATATATTTATGTAAATAGGAATATTAATTGTGTTTGTATTTTGATCAATTGATGTATACGTAAATTATGCATTTTTAATTTAAGGGTTTTTCTTTTTATTTGATATATTTTTGTTGACAAAATTCGAAGGTGTCCATCTGAGATGAGTGCGTGTATGGGGTCAATGCAACCTTACCACAACGCCACTGCCTCTGCATTGATGACGTCGATGCTCACCGCCTCTCGAAGTGGTTACGGTTGGCTTCCTGAAGGTACTTCGGAGTTTCTCTAACGCTGTAAACCTTTATGTGCGTTTTGAATAAATAGTGAAGAATAACATAATGCTTATATTATGCTGGTTTTAAAATTGGATTTCATGGCTAAAACAATACATGGAGACATATTTTTATATATGTACATCTTGGGTGTTTATAGTAGTTTGATTCTTGTACTTGTAGTTCTTTAATATTGTTAATGAGTTAATGCTTTGCCGTTTGAGCTTATTTGATGTTATCCTGATGAATTGTTACTGTTTTGCAACTTCACTTGTAAACAGATACAATTGTTCAAATATGCATGAATGTGAATTCATTGATCTTTCATTTAGTAAATTTCTTAAAAATGATCCAATAGAACATAGAGTGGCATACCTCTCTTTCTCTCTGTGTTTCTGTTTTGTGTGTGTAAATTTGGAGATGAAAGGGTACGAGTTTGGGATGGTGGGTTATTTTGTTTCTACATCTTTCTTGATCAACACAGATTTTTTTCCATAAGTGAAAATGAGCAGGAAAATATAAAATCTGATTTAGTGTCACGTGTGTCATCTGTTATTCCGTCAAATTGTAGCATTTTGTCTTATTTTGTTACATAGAGATCCTAGCTTGTAACTGAAGTCCCATGTATCTTTCTTTTGATTATTGTCAAAATTGTAGCATTTTACTAACTTGTCAACAAATATTTGTTTAAACTATTTCTGGATTGCCCTTAGAAGAAGTTATTCATTTCTCTAAGAACGTGTATCCTGTAGAGGGGATTTCCACTATCTTTTAGAGTGCACAGACTGTTTTCTTCTTATTTTTGCATGCCTAACAATTTTCGTCAGACATCCTCTTGAAATGTTAATAAATTTTGCTTAGAATTTACTTCAATAATTTCCTATACCTGTTGGGAAAATTGCCCTGACTGTTCTCAACATATGGGATTACTGTCACTTTGTTCCCATATTTTTTCTGTATATAGGTCCCCAACTTTCAATGATGTAACAAAGAAGTCCCTTTGGACAGTT